CCCAAAACCCCAAAACCCCAAAACCCCAAAACCCCAAAACCCCATATTGCTAAAAAATAACTCTTATCAAAATGCTGATTAAATAATAATAAAATAAAACTAGTTGTTAATGTAGAAATTTTAAAAGCATAGTCAAGATGCAATAATTACAGCAAGTACTTTAAGATCTTAAGATTAGAGTCAGATGAACTAAGAGAGTTCGACTCTAGTCTAACAGAACAATTAGAATTCAACAAGAAAGAATAATAAGAGCAGTAAAAAACAACAATTCCATCGATCAACGATCCAAGTGAAGTAACTTAGTCTTGAACAGTAAATGTATCAAACATAGATTGACAATCAAAATAACAAGTAATTATCCATTTTTGACGAGTTAAATGATGTCAAGAATCGTCATTTCCAATCCTAGTAAAGATCAATCACTCCTCTAGAGAATCATAATATAGATTACAAAGCATAGCAAAATTAACATACACAGTCATTGAATAGAGAATTTTGTAGCAAAAACTTTGGATTTGGTGGTAAAAATCAACTATATTTGAGATAATCTATGATAAGCAGAAACTCATCAGCAAAATCCTTTGCAGAAAGATCTTAAAAAGAGATACTATCTCCATTCTATAAGCCTTTTGAAATCTTCTTTACCAACAGAAAGAAATCTCCTTACCTGACTTAGAGATCTTAGAATCAATCAGCTTGTTCTCCAAAGCAAGAAGGTGGTACATTTTAATCTTAAAGAAGCAAAGACAACACCATTGTGAAAAACAGTTAATTAGTCAGCAGTTTTTAGCCTCAAAACTCTTACAATAATTAAGTCTCATTTAGATCTAAAACTCCCTCATTTCATACTATAATGACAGATAAAATTAATCGATGCTCTTAGTTCTCATCAATGAAAAATAAAGAGAAAAGCAAAAGAGAAAGTATTGCAAATGAGAATGTTTAAAATACCAAAAGTGCATAAAGTTACTTCAATTAGCATATAAAAAAGAAAATCATAATTGAGTCCCAGAAGAGGTTTTGTAATAATTAGTATAAATTGCAATTGGACAGTAGTAACAGTAAAAATGAAAAAATCAAATAAAGAACTAGCAATAGTCATACACCTTGCAGCAATAAAAAATAGAATCAAATAGAATCGAGAAGAAACTCCAGAAACATAAACTAAAAATAGAATAACACATATCAAGCATTTGATAAAAACAGGTTGCAAACTTTGAGAATTGAACAAGAGAAATTCTTGAGAAATAGCGAGGACGATTTAAATTACTCTACAGATAATGATATTGAGTAGATTAATAATACTATGAAGGCCTAGGTAGTGTCTATTGATACAAGATAGAAAGCAATTACTAAAGATTAGCAGATATAAACATTAGATGAACATCATAGTTGTAATGCTTAAACTCTTAATCCTGAAACTGAAGATCACGTCTGTTGTCATGCGGAAGGATAGAGACATTAAATGACCAGATATGCTCTAGAGAAAGCACTTAAACTAGCAGAGATTTTAATGAAAGAGGTTTAAAGACTTGATAATGTGGTACAAAATCATAATTATGTTCTAGCCCAACACAATTTAGCTGACCTTTAGACTTAAGAGTATACTGAGAAGGTGGTTGAAAAGAAGTAAATGAGCAAAGTGAAGAGAGAGCTATTTAAAGAGATCGACCATCTGAATAGAATCTAGCAAGACACTAGTATTAAAAACCCCTCAAGTGAAAATATAAGAGACCTGTATAGTAAGACTAGGAATCATATTGAAAAGACAGGATCTATGACTAGTGTCAAAGTTCCTAGTACTTCTTCTCGGATCTCAAAGAATTAAAAGGAAAATAACTGCCTCAAGGACTCATCGTTATTGTTAGCAGATGTTACTGCTTGTGTTAAACAGCTCGATAGGAAAATGAGTGGAAGGATTCTCGGAAGATAATGAGGCCCTTAAGAATCTGAGCTCAGAAAATAATCATAAGTCTTAGGAAAGACCTTAAATAAATGAAAATGCTTTGTGAAGTGTGAATATAAGAATGAAACATATCCACTAACTTATTTATGAGCATTTAGCTGGGATTTAATTGTAAATTTTATTTTAATTCCCGCATTAAGTATTATTAATAAATAAATAAAGTCCCTATTATATTTAATTTTGAGGTAAATAGGAAATGTCGCTTGAACTTAAACCAGAGAAGGTCAAGATATATCTCAAACTTCTCACTGAAGCATGTATTGCATGCAATGGTAATAAAGGTAGTTTGAGAAAAGATCTATGGGCATACCTTCGTGAAAAATATGATGAATCAGTAGATTACAGAGATTTTTTGTTTGCAATTAAAAGATTCTAGCAAGAGGGAAAGATTCTAAGTAGTGATGGTATTTTTGAGATGCATCATGAGGTTCTAGTCGAAGTCAGAGAGAAAACTCCAACTCCCGCCCTAAAACCCAAATAAGGAGAAGGAAGAGCTTCTGAAAATAATGTCTATATGAAGTTCCTATCTGGCTAACTAGATGATAGTTCAAATACTAAAAAGAAAGGTAAATATCCTTTGGACTCTAAAATCTCAGATTCAGGAAAGAAACAAAAGGTTAAGCCTCACAAAATAAGCCCGAGTCAAAGAGGGATTTAAAAATACTTTATAAAAAAACAAATGAATTCGCTACAAAACATTGAGGACTTTGACACAGAAGCTATGCAAACGAAAACTCTTGGCTTTGCAACTCCTGCTTTTGATTCTAAGATCATGCATGTTGAAAATGTAAATAATGAAAAAGAAACACCCAAAAAGACAAGCAAAGATAATATTTCTAAACGCATGAGCAACCTGTAAAAGTAGAAAAATTACTAATCCAAAAATGAATTAAGGAAGAAACAACTAGAGCAGTAATTGCAATAAGTTACGAAGAAAATTTAGAAAAATAAAAAATTCACCAACGAGAAAGATCATAGCAGTAGAAAGAATGAAAAGCCTCATCATGACAAGAAATAGCCAAAATAAAATTATGATCAGGCCTTTAAAGTGAATCAATCACTAAATCAAAAAGAGCAGTTGGATAAATTACTTCAATTGGAAACAGAAAAACTTAAAAAATAGTAGAGAGATGAGAGGGATGAGAGAAAGCGTCAATTGAAGGAGAAAAAGGATTAAGTAATGAATGAGAAAAATTAAAAATTGACATCTACTGTGATAAAAGCTCTGAAAAAGGCAATATTCTATAAAAACATTTAATTTAGAAAGTATAGTAACACTAACTAAAAGCAGACTGAAAAAATTAAGAAGACAAAATCCATTAAAAAAATAGATGCATTGAAGATCAAGAAATCTAAGGCTCATAAAAAACTAAGAGCACTTAATCAGTTGAAGAATGAGAACAAAACACCAAAACTAATGATAAATAGGCTCAGAGGGAAGACACTTGATCTGACTGAACTTGGTATTATTAAGAAGAAAAAGGATGTAACTCTAAGTAGACAAAGTACCCTTAGACTGGACAAGTCAGTCGAAAGAGACGAATTGCCTTCAAGACAACTATCTAGAAGATCAAGCGTGAATAGATAGTTATCAAAGACAAAAATAATTAAGAAAGAGCAAAAGAAATAAGAGAAGTAAGTAAAGGCCAAATAGCAAGAAAAAAAAGCAAAATAGGCTAAGATAGCAAAAGTAAAGAAGGCTTATGTGAAAAAGGCTAAAAAGTAAGATGTACGGGGCGTAGTAGATTATGATCGTAAAGCAAAGTTAGATGCAGTTAAGAATTTAAGATAGCTGTATAGCAAAGATAAGCTAAAAGATGCACTTTACATTGATGAAAAACTCATATATCTATGACTATGAACCATTTACATTAGCTAATGATTCTGACTGCCTTCATATCAAAGTATAAATTTAAATATGAGGTGGGAAGATGAACTGGCTAGCGTTAGTTTTGTTAAGATGAGTTTAGAGTAGCTTTCACCTCTTATTTATTCTACCTTCTTAATAAAATTCAATTTCACAAGACATTCTTAATTAAAGCTAGTCTTCTTAACATGTATTACCTTAAATAAGTTAAACTTACATTATTATAATTATAATTATATTTCAAATTAAAAGATGAGAGAAGAAGAAGGAGTTGAATACGTTAAGAAAATCGTTAATGAATGGTCAAAGGTCTATATTAACCAAGTTTTCTTCATCAATAAGTTCTCCAACATCTACAAGTACAATTGAATTAATATCATTAACTTTAATTAGCTATGAAGTTGAATTCAGCAAACCACATTCAATTAAGCCCATTCCTGAGGGAACAGTTAAAGTTTTCTTTTCGTTAATTGAGAAAGCTAATGGCGATTGCATAGTAGAATTTAACTTTGAGAATGAATCTCTTAAGCACAAACTTGATAATACTATGAGAACTAACATGTTTGAGGTAAATTCTAAATTCCCTTATAACTTCTGTTTTAGTAATGGATTGACAGAGTCTTAGAAAACAAATTGAAAATTAAGATGTAGTTACATTTAGGTACTGAATTCGAATATACTAGAACTGTCGATGAAAAAGGGAAAACCGTCGATCCATTTGTACCAAAGTTCGATATTATGAAGGTCAAAGATCTTTCCAAAGAAATGAGGAAGTCACAAAAGATTAATGTTGAGTCTCCAAGATTCGTCAATACACTCAAGAGAGCTCTTTTTGAAATGTTTGAGCTAGCTGATAAGGATAAATCTGGATAACTCTCATATCAAGAGTTTTATGATGCTTTTAAGACTCTTTCTTACGGACTTAGTGAAAATGACATCAAGACTCTTGTTGCTTTAGCTGATGAGAATGATGACGGTCTTATAGATTGGGAGGAATTCATCCCTATTGGTATCGAGTCCATTTAGACATTCTTTGCTAGAAACAAGACTCTTCAAAGAGCTAAAGCCTATGAGAGAGAGTTGAATAAAGAGGCTATGCTACTTGTCTACCAAGATGAAATCAAGAAAGCTAACGAAATTCTTCAGAAGAAGTTTGTTAAGATTGATGAGTAAAAGACAGGACATATTCCTATTATAGAACTTAAGAAATCAATGTTCCACTGTAACTTAATTACTCCTAAGGAAATAAATATCATAATGAGAAGTCTAAAGGATGAAACTTTTGAGTACAAATTGTTCCAACAAACTTTATTTGATGTAAGATTTGAGCTTGCAAAGAGCAGAATAATGGATACAAACATTGACAAGTTATAAGAACACTTGAACATCGTCTTCTCGAGATATGACCCTGAGCAGACTGGTCAAATTAACATCCTGCAGATTCAAGAGGCGTTACTTAAGTCTAAGAAAGTGAATTTAACTCCATTCTAAATTCATTCTTTAATCGGTTTATCTTGCCCAGATGCTCACGGCATGGTTGTCTACAAAGAGTTCGCTCCCAAGTGCAGAGATATGATCAATGAGCTTTTCACAGTCAAGAGTTTAAGTGATAAGTCTACCCTCATGCAAACAGGAGCATTCAAGCCATAAGAGAATCTTGATGAAATTAATCTAAGTGGTTTAGATCTATTCAAGGTAATTAATCATTTGAAATATTCAACATTTACTAGTTATTTAAGAAATACGATAGAAACCAAAATGGATTTTTAGAGATTCACGAATACATTCAATGCCTGAAGGATAGTGATGTCAAGTTAACTGAGCCTGAGATTATCACACTCGGGTTAAGCGCTGATATCAATGGAGACGGAAGAATTGACTACGAAGAGTTTATGAAGCATTTCTAAGATTGTCTCAAACTAATCAGACTTCAAAGTACTCTTTAAGATGCCTACAACTTATACAACAAGCAATCAGCTTAGATAGGATCAAAGAGACCAGGAGCAGGTATTCAACCAGCAGGAGGCAAGCTTCTCTGATTATTCACATTTAGCTATTGAAATTATATGTCTTATTTTAACTTCAATCATTTAAGGAAATTAAGTTTAACCAATCATTATATAATAAATAATTCAACATCTTTTGAGGGAGAATTGCTAGACTTTCAATCCTTGGTCTTAGTCATATTTGTTCCAATCACTCTGTTAATCCTATCAATCATGTTACTAACTTTGACCTTGTAGTTAATATTCCTATTCTTAAATAATTCGCAATTAAGCACTGATTTTCTTCTGAGTTTCTCGGCAAGATAACCTTTAATCCTTGTTTTTTCATTAGCTGAGTTGTATCTGCCAGTATTTGAATAGAACTAGGTAAGGTTCTTTGAAATTATCTAATAGGGAGAATCCTATAAAGCTGTCTTGACTGCTTAACCAGTAAAGCTGTTATACAAAATCTGACTTGTGTTTTGATTACTATTCAAGTTCTGTTCATATAGTCTATTAGCTCCAATATTATTTTGTCTACTGAAATGTTGCTAATGATTTTGATCTAAGACTATATTAAAACTTTTGCTGTTGAACTCAGAATTTGATATCTCAGATTTAGTCTCATTCATTTAATCAAAGTTATCTTGATAACTACTGAAAGTCTGATTCTAATGTAATCCATGATTGTTTTTATGCATTCTCTAGCTTCTTTGAAAATTTGGATTAGAGGGAGCAGTCTATATTCTTTAAGTTACTGAATTATCATAAGGGCTAATGAAATTATTCTTTGAGTTATATCCATAGCCATTGCCAGATTAATTATTACTAATTGGATTTGCTAGATTTGTAACAGAAGATGTAGATGACGATAAGCCGGAAAACATTTAAGCAGGTCGTACACTAGTTCTGCTAACCTATGTAAGATAGATATTCTGAGATTGTTGATCGTTTGCTGTGCTGTTATACTAATTGCCCTCAGTTTAAAATAGGTTAGATGATGCGTTCCTTGATGAGTATAATGTTTTCTCCCTCATAATTTATCTTTTGGCATGCTGTATTAATTTGCTCTACCTATCTAGCTTTTCATGCTCGATTCTCTGCTTCTATAACTTTTCCTCTTCTTCTTTCATTACTAAATCCATTCGCTTCCCATGAAATCCAGGTTTAGTCTGGTTCAGTGACTTTTTCTCGACAATCACAAACTATCTGTTTTAGAGTACATCTCTTTATTGCTCTGATATGGTATTCTTGAATTCTGCAATCTTAGACATCAACTCCTCTATCATTAAAGTTAGTTGATACTGATCTATACTTACTCTTAGTTTTGATGCTCTTTGCTCCTGCTCTTTGGAAGAATATGCCTTTAAGATCGTTATTCTAGTCTCTGATCTAGATATTTTAAACCTTTTCACCATATCTATAGTTTATGAACTTCTCGTCATCAGATGAAGAAGATAACTCGCCCTTTATGACTAGCTTTTTGTTCTTTATTTTTTTTTGCTTTCTTCTCGGTATAATCCTGTACTTATCTTTATACTAAGCGTTTGTCTCTGGTAATTCATTCAAGTCATCCTCGATCTCATGACCCTTTGGATCTTTAAGAGGGTCATTTTGGTGACTATCTCTTAAATGAAGCATTTATATTGCTTTGCTCTTGTTTTCTAGTAAATAAGCAATATCGCAAAAATCTTCCTTGTAAAACCTTTTAGCTTTCCTCTAAGTTATAAAGTCAAACGGTAGCACCTTGTCAAATGCCATCCATTCCTTCTAGGCAATCAGCCTGGGAGATGAATACACACTATCATCTAGCTAGGAGTTCAAATCATCCAGAGTAAAGTTTGATCTAACATAAGATTATATAAATTGATATTTTACGATTATGACATTTTTCCTTTTTTAGAAGATTTTTCTGAATGAGCTCTTTCAAAATCCTTATCTCATTTATCTATATCCAAACTCTTATGACTTTGGTGAATAAGTCCATCAATCTGTTTCTCTAATTTATTCTTTTTCTTTTTGCTGTAGTTGATTTCCTCTCCGAAGTCAGACTCCTAAGCATACTAGAGCTCATCATATATAGTGGATGGCTCCACATCAAGTTAATTGGCTAGTTCATTCAGAGGATATTTGAATTTCCTCTAATTATTCCTCTTCTTAACTGAGTAGTAATCTCTCACTAGATCTAGTCTCTAGAATCTGCGCTTCAGAATGTCTACTCTAGAGACTATAGCAACATCATCATCTAACTATCGTCTGCATTTCTTTCCGAAAGTAAAGCACTTGAATCTAAAATAGGCTTAGCCAATATCTTGGACAAATAATTTACTTACACGTGATTCATGACTCTGTCTTGTCTGCGCTTTTAAAGAAGTGCAGTCTTAAAAGGCAACTCATTATCATCTAAGAAATCTTTAGTGTCCTTGTATTGCAGCTAATCAGATGCGTAGCCCTTAACCTCTAGACTATCATCCTACTTGTTCTTGATCTTTCCCAAGAGCAGTTTTTATATTTTTTGTGGATTCTGCTGTTCTTCGTAGCTCACCGGGGGATATCCGAACATGGGTATTCTTTCATGACCCAGATTCTCAACATAAATCTTTAAGTTCATGTTAACACCCTCTCCCACTTCTGTCTCCTATGACAATAATAATATGATTATCTGGATACCTTGAGATAAGTAGGATTTTTGTCAAAATAGTAATTGGCATGCTTAACAATTCCAACTCCATCAATAATTTTAGCAGGCTTTAACTCTCTTTTTTTACTTTTCCTCAGCTTGATCACACTCTGCATAGTCGTTGATTAATTGCCAGTGAATTTGTTTTTAAGCTGGTTTATTTCTTCCTGAAAAGCCAGCTTTCACTGCTGGTATTCCATAATTTTTGTCTTCATGTCTACTTGAACTTTTCATTAAAGTGACTATAAATCAGTTTTGGTCCATATTAATTTGAGTTGATAGATGCTGTTATGTTTAGTAATTACTTACATTCATCATTTTTCCTTGTTAAAGCAAGGACTAGGTTTGATCTGAATTATTGTCTGCTAAGTTAAATGAGACACTTGACACTTTCTTATGTGGAAGAGCTTAATTGACCATGCTAGAGGTAATTGACATTTCAGATTTTGGCTGATTCCTCTTAGTAAGAATTCTTTGAGGTTTAAGGTAATCGACCATAATTAAGAGATTAATTAGATTATTTTAATATTTTTAAATTATTGCATTTATTATACTATCATTCCTTTTAATAAAGAATCATTTCTTATATACTGCTCACTGAGGTAGGAGGAGTACTTGCTTTGTGAACTAATCAAAGTCGTAGAACACTTCATTGCCCTCAAGTCTGATTTCCTTGCATTTTTTAAGTTTATCTATGCCCTTAATAGATACTCGGGCTACCAGCTATCTCTCTATATGCACATTATTCACTACATTGATTTAAGGTTAGATTAGTTTTAGGAAAACAAAGGTATTTAGTCCCAACTTGTATGCATTTTAAGAAATTCTAATGAAATCACCTCTAAAGCCATTGTTCTCTAGGATGTTTTTAGCTTTTTATTCTATGAGAATTTCTTCTTATATCTCCATGCTTCCTTTTTCATCCATCAGTTTTTGATATTTATGCAATTCCTAGTCTCTACTTTAGAGTAACTACTGTAAAGACTAAATCTCAGTGTCCTTTTTCTTTTAATCCTGTCTCATTCCAATAATCAATTCTCTCTCAAATGCTAGCACTTCTTCCTCTGACTTTGAAATCGATGATATCTAGCTGAGGTTCTCTCCAGCAGACTGCACTTTGAGTTTTTGATTCCTTAGTTTATTCATTTCATCCTCTAAGATTTTAGCTCTCAGTAGTTTTTCTTGAAGCAAATAAAATACTCTATTAATTATCATAAGGAATAACTTACGCTTTGTATTTGGCAGTAAACATCTTCATTTTTCCCTCTTGAATTCCAATAGTCTCCCTATTTTCCTCAAAATCCAAGACAAGTTGATTAAGGTATTTAAAGATCTGATTCTTCTCTCTTCTATATTTCTTTACATTTTACTTAATATCCTCTTGTACTTCTTTGAAAGTTTTCTATAAATAACTTTAATCATAGTTGATTTACATAAATATAATGTATGTTTCCAAATGGGGCTAGTTGTTCCTCAAGACTTTCCTTTTACACTAAAAGCTCCAAAATATATTCTTGCTTTTTCTCTAAATCTTTCATCATAGTGTCTTTTTTATCCCTTTCTTCAAATTTACCGATTCTATAGAACTCTGATATCGGAAGTAGTTTTGCTTTTTTACCTTAGCCTTTTGTATAAATGGGATCAATAGTGAGTTCATCATCAAATTTAAGTATTCTATCCTACAAATCATCGAATTTTATCTTCAAATCCTTCGCCATTTAAATGAACTAAGTGACGCTATCAAAGTATTTCTGAGATGAGCCAACTCTTCCTCTATCGTTTAACAGAAAAGAAGCTTGGTCTTCAACTATCTCTTTGTGTTTATAGATCTGAACTAATTTTTACTTTTGCTGGCTTAAATCATCTCTAAGCTCCTTCGCCTCTTCTTGGAATCTATCAGTCTAATCCTTTATCTTATCTGCCAACTCTGACTTCCTCTTAATGTTTTCAAGCATTTGTTATTAAACTGCTTCTATATCTTCTCTCAAAACTATAAACTATTCATTGATTTCTTCTTTCTTTCGTTTTAAATTAATCTGTTTCACCTTTTCCTCAAATAGGAAATTTTTAGCATCTATCAAATCTTATGTAGCCTTCTTCTTTTCAGCAAGATTTGATTTTAAATCTTCCCCATACCCCTCTATTTTAGCATTAAGCAGATCTAAGATAGGATCTGAAATTCTTTGAATAGCTTTGGCTGGATCCTTAGCGATATCTATACTGTAATTGTGAATTCGATCCATCTCGTTCTTCATTTTTCCAATTTAATCTCTTAACCTGCTATTAGTTTAGTCCATGTTTCCATCTTACTCCATAAGCACTTTCGACAATCCTTAGCCCTTTTACTTCTCTTCATCTAAATCCTTCTTAGCTCTATCGAGATATATCTTGAGTTTGTCTTTGTCTTTTACCATTTCATCTGCTGTTTTAGTAAAGTCCTTTTGCTCTGTTTACAATTCAAATGTAATTCTTTTAACTTTCTTGTTAAATTTGTCTTTATCTAGGTTCTCTGAGAAATCTTCATAGTCCTATACTTCTTCATGATGCTTCTTGTGCATCTTGGAAGCAAATCTCATTTTCTCCTCTAAACTCGTTTAAAGATTGCCCCATTAAAGATTTAGTTCAGCCATTAAACCGTTTAACTGATCAAGTTCGTCTGTTTTCACCTGATTAATATCATACTTTCTAATTTATTCATTCAGCTCCATCAATTTAGATTGCTTATCTCTGATGCCCTCAGCCAAGCGAGACTTTTCATCTTACTTTTTTTGCATATGTGCAATTAGCTAGTCCTCATCTAGTATTTAATCAGACTGAATATCGTCTACTCTATCGTACTTCTCAAGTTTCAAGGATCCCTATTTTTATTTTCTGTTTATATGGTAGACGTCGAGACCTCTGCTCTTTCCTCCTCTGATGGCTTCAATTTCAGCCTTTCGTAATTCTTTCAAATTGGTTAAGTCCATATCATCATAGTTTGAAAACTCTGAGTCTCTAGTGTGTTTAAAATTTTCCATATAGTATTCAGACATCTCAATGAAATTCTTGATAGATTGACCTGCTTTTGATTGATCTTTGCTTTGCTGTAAAAACAGGTATTTTTTAAATACATCGACTGAGTGTTAATCTTCTTATTCATAGACTATCTAAGTAATTTCTTTCTTTTTGCGAGCACTTTGAGCCTAGGTTTTTGACATATTATACTAAACAGTAGTGGTAGTCGTAGTATGAGTGGTCTGTTTGTTTTAAGTCTGAGTTGTTTATTTATTTTATGTCCTTGTTCTTTGCTATGACATTTTATTTTACAAATTTATTCAAAAGAAATATTACATTTCATTAACTGCGGGGTTTTGGGGTTTTGGGGTTTTGGGG